TTTTCCTGTGGTATGGGTTGTGTAGCGGCAGCCACAGGCGCCAAGCAAAGCTCACAGCCTACCACAGTTTGTGGTTTTTCTTTTTGTTTAAAGCGCCTAGAGCAGATTTGGATAGGCGCTATATAAATAGTTATTATTATTATTATTATTATTATTGATTCTCTTATTTTCTTCCCACTTGGGTAATATTATAGTTCATGTTTTTGGAAAGATAAACATATTTTCCCTAACAAAAAATTCATCGTAAAATTTATTTAAAACAAATCATTTATTGTTATGGATATTTTATAGTTTTAAAATATATTTCTGATAATGCAGCATTTATATATAGTTCCATAAAAACTATAACTATATATTCCATTACGCGACAAAGCTATGCATAGATTTGTTATCGGTAATAAAACTGTTTTTTTTTTTTTTTTGGTCGTTTTTACACACATTTCGATAATTCTTCAATACTTTTGGTAAAATATTTGAAAATATTCCCTCGTTATTCAGCAGACGCATAAATCCACTATTGTATCAGAAAATTCCCAAGTGAGTTTACAAATCAATCGTCATCTATAATACTATACATCTTACGTATTTCACTTGTACTAGTCTTTTTACCATCAAAACCTGTCTCATGGCTCTTCTTCAGTTTCATTCGTCGATTCTGGAACCATATTTTCAAGTGTTTTTCCGAGAGTCCCAAAGAGTTTGCTAGCTCCATTCGTCTTGTAGCAGTCAGATAGCGACTGTAAAGGAATTCTTTTTCTAGTTCAAGTTGTTGTGCTGTTGTGTAAGCTGTTCTTGCTCTTGAGCGAACACAGGCCGATCTCCAAGACTGTCTTGACTTAGCACTACTATGACTTGAAGTATCATCTTTGTCTGTGAAGAGAAAAAGATAATGAAACAGCTTTGTTTGAAAAAAGTTGAAATAAATGCAGAACTGAATAAAACTAGTGTTTTTCTAGTGGAAGTTCGACGAGAAAGAGCATTTGTCTTAATTACTATACAAGAAGAGCAAGATAAGGTGACTCGGCCTTAGCAAGGTGCTATATCTAAGAATTAGTGATTCAGTTTGTATGTACTAAAGTTTATATTAAAAATTTGATGAACTATAGTTAACCTTTCTGCGCGATTTGATTTTCTGAAGTGCTTGAATCGGATTTCTAAGTGACGCTGATAATCAGCCATTACAGTGTTCTAGCTCTCTCTCTTTACTATTTCATCACATGGTTATCTTGATCCAAGATGGCGGATATCGATTCGCGTGGCCTTGTGTATGGAGTTTGTAAAGAAAATGTAGAACATTACGTACGAAAATGTTTTCCTCAAGGCTAACGATATTCAGAAATTTCTTTACATTTTGCTGTTCAAACTCCCTTAAAGGTAGAGGTTCTGACAATTCTTCCTCATAAAACTTCCTGTCTTTTCAGCAGATCACATTATAAAGAGCTCCCGATTTGTGTGTGTGTGTGTGTGTATCGCCAGTAGCCTGCTCCTTCCCAAATAATGTCTTCTTACTACCTAGTCTAGGTTTTATCTTTTTCTAAAACACTTTATCAGTGACCAGACAGTTTCAATTGATTAAGTCCTTGCCTGGCAGCCGTTAGTGCGAAAACTGATCATTTCTGAGCCGGACAGATGCCGAAAATATTTTAACGACGAGTGCCATAACTCAAAACAAGTGAAGTTTCCTCTCGGGGTAAACAAATTCAGTAAATTTACAGTAGAAATATACATAAGGAAAGCAAAAGAGCAACAAATTAACACTATTTACTGCGATGAGCAGCCTTTGATTGAGTCTTGGTTTACTTCAGTATTCATGAATTCATGTCACTGAAGACTTGTGAAACTGAATCTGAAGAGAATCAATGCTGTTCAAAACTTTGTACCTTATATACACGTTGTACAAACAGGATTCTTTCTTTATTGCTTTTGACTTTGTAGGAAATGAGTAGTATGAGGATCCTTTTCTGCCCAACAGGAGGTAAACTATCAGGCAGACTTGACCAAGAAATCTTATATTTGTTTGTGGCAAGGAACGCTGAAGGGAACCAACACTTTTATTAAGTGTTCACACATGATAACTGATTACCTAACATGATTACCTAACATGCTAACTAATAAAATAAGGTAGGCTTACGACTACTTACAGCATGTCTTTTTCCGTGAATTCCATCTTGATTATAGGGAGAAATATTTATACAAATGGACACTTGAGTGACCCATCACTTACAGAGTGTTGCAGTATGTTGTCATAACAAAAATTACCTACACAGCTAACTAAAAAACTGAATAGACTTAAGACTTCTTACATCGTGTATTTTTCCTTGAATTCCATCGTGAGGGACTACTGTGTTATTAGAGAGATATTCTTATACAAATAACCTTCCTCCCAGCCCAGGGCACGGCGTGTATGATGCTAGATCAGTAAAGCACAGTGGTTTTGTCGATCATGAACATTATATCATGTTTAGACACACGTCACTCTTTTTTTTTTTTAATTTTTACTGCAAGGTCGGGACACCGAGATCCATACGTGATCATCACATCCACATGAAGTGTCCAGTAAATAATAATGAAAGTAAAAAATTTATAGTAACGACCATAAGGGCAGAAAATAGTTAACGTTTCGGTGATAAAAAAGCCCCTAGTGTAGCCTACAAGCATCAGGCAAAGGAACCTTGGCTTATTGTTTCAATGTGTAGCTCGATGAAAGGAGTTTATGCTACAGAAATAGACTTGAATAAGTGCTATTATAATGGACGTCTTTAGTAGTGACAACTTCGTAGTCCTCTACTGCGGAAGAAAGCCCGCAGTACAACTAAGAGATGGCGAAACTATGCCGGCTTATTAATTTTATGCAACAGTTGTCAGTTTGAATTGACTGCACGGCATATATATATAAATATATATATATATATCTGGACGGAAGTTTTGCTGTAAATTATAAGATTGAATTTATATCATATTTCTCAGTAAATGGCAGTATACGTTCCAAGCTCTACTACAATGGCAACAAAATATTAATTTTTTTCTGCAAGATTAATAAACTTATTTTATCAAAATGTACAGATTTTTCTGTCTCGAGGAATTATTAACTGAGGAATGTTAYTGGTTATCCTCAGGCAACATTAGCGCAAGGATCAGAATGTGCGTAACTCATTCCTTTCGCTATCACCGTCAATCGATCAACAAGATCTTATCAAGACAGCTCCATTAATCACTCGCTAACCTGATTTCCTTTCGTACTCCGTTGACAAGCAAACCGCACTTCGTGGGTTGCCAGTTGGTTTCTCGGCAGCATCTTCGTGCGAAAGAGTTTCGAGATTCGAAGTTTCATGTTGATGCACTAAAGACCATGTGGATTGAGGCTCGAGCGTTGATCCCTGAGGCCTTGAGTCTCTCCACTGGTATTCCCCATGTACTGGTACTTTAGTATTCGAGTATGGATAAGTCAAAGGCGTGTTCCCTCCACTCAAAGGCACACGCGTCGTCGCCCACTCTCTACTTTCTTCTCCCAAGCTAGTGTCATTTAAGTCGTTATTCTGCAGTGAGTTTATGAAGATGCTGCTGTAGGAGTGACAGCCATGTTGATTCATCGTGATCCTTTTGCTTTCCACTTAGTCCTTGTTTGCCCTGACAAGTTGTCTTGTAAAGCATAAAGTGGAGTCCAAGGAGTTTTATTGACCTGTACTGCTCACGTGACATCCAACAGCCAATCAGAGCAAAGAATTAGATTGCTGAAATTATTGGGGTGCTAATTGCTGTTGATAGTTGATGATTGTTTGGTCATCCGGTTGGTGAATCTTGGGCGGTCAGTGTGTAGAATGCTATCGTTGAAAACACGAAAGAACGCAAGGATACCTTACTTACAATCCATGTTTTTCATGCCAGCGTGCATACTTTGACACTCAAGTGGTTTTCTTACTCGAGCATCTTGATTGGCTGATGTGTACTTTTATGCTTTTTGGTTCTAGATCTATAAAAGTATGGTTTCCCCATCCCCATTCCCTCCCTCCACCAATCAACTTCATATGCGCCGACAATATGGACTCAGAAGACAAACATACTTCAAGTCAGTGATCATATGTAGTGGATTCTGCATGATTTTCACCACATCGGGTTTTCCAATTAGGTTTGTCTGCTTATGTTAGATGTTACCAGAAAGAGTGCTAATCAGACAGGAGCATCGTTGCAGATCAAAGCATTTAGTGTTTTGTTAAGGGTCTGTTAAGGCGTGTATGTAAGTGTATATACCATAGTTAAATCAAATGATCGGGCCACTCCGATCAGTAGTACTATATAGAATAAACTAAAATAATCTTTTACAGGCATATAGAAAAGTGGGTAGGACTTGCCGAGATTTTCTTAAAAACAAATAAAAAATATGCCAATTAAACCATAGTGGAGTGAAAAATGAAGCATTTCAGTATTGACCGTGGGGGGAGGGGACAGGCAGCCCGCATCTCAGTAATGAAGGTCACACTAACATAATGTACGCTATTTTTTATTTGTACTGTATAGAATAATCTTTTAGAGGCATATATAGAAAAGTGGAGTAAGAGTTGCCGAGATTTTCTTAGAAGCAAACAACTGATATACCAGTTAAACCACAGTGGGGGGAAATGAGGCATGTTATTGACCGTGGGGGGAAATGATAGGAGTGAACTCATGAGCTGCCCGCATCTGGGTAACATGAGACTGAATCACGGAGATCACACTAACCTATATGTACACCAATATACAATATGCGCGGGGAAAATCCATTTATCCATTGCGCTACCCACATATATACTGAGCTCTCATTCTCATAGAATTGGAAGGGAATGATTGCTCGTCAGTCCTTCAGGGGAGGCGTTCAACGCCAGATCTTTTTTGTCAGTTAGGCGTCTAGACGTGACTGAGGTCATACGGTCAGTAAGTCGGACGTCAAGGCGGATTAACACATGATTTACTGCTTTGGCCTGTATTTCTTGATATCGTACATATCATTCATTCCTGGTCAAAATGAATCCGGCTAATACCTTCATCCACAATCTTATATTGCCAGATGTGAGCAGGAATGGATAATGATCCGTAGATCAGTAATCAACACGGTGTCAAGCTGTATTAACTGGGGCGTGCCCAAAGGGGGGGGGGGGTGCACCTTTTCCCATTGACAGTTCATTTGGGACAGATTTTGGCTAACAACCCGTACCATTGATTAAAACCGTCCTTGTTTTTACGAGGCAAGCACTTAATAGCCATGGGCTAACAAACCTGTGGCTGGCACTCGTTCCATGATCGAATTGGAATTTAGGAGTTGATTTTTGTGGAGATAGGAAAACCGGAGAACCCTGAGTAAAACGCTCAAATCACAAGAGAGAACCAGCAAGCAACTCTATACTCACATACAGCACACTCGAACTTCCTCCTACTTGGGTTTCATTGACGAGAGGCGAGCGCCCTTACACTACGCCACTTATTCATTTGTTGGTTTAGGTCATGGCTGGTTTGGGGTTCCTGTGGCATAAAAATAGCTGTTCATCGGTTCAGTTCAAATTTAATTTCTGAATTCTGAATTTCTAGATTCTGTCTTTAGAAGTAATTCATTCTTCCAAAACTAAAAAAAAGTTAAATAGCTTTTTTCGTTTGTGCAATTAATCGCTCTTCCGCGCCTGCAATCCTTTGCAGCAGTACAGGACATTTACACATGCGCTTTGTCAAATCTATAGATTCAAGATGGCGGAAAGCATGGTGAGTAAGATGACTGTCGACAACGTTTTACTAAAATTTATTGTTTTAAGCACATAAATATCGAAAGATGAGCCGTTTTCGTAATTTCTTAGTTTATATGCTTTTTATCTTGCTATATTTTGTCTCAAAGCAAGTAAATTCATTCAAATTGTGAGCTTATAAAAGCCGGCACCTTGAAATTTTTTTTTGCTTTGTCATTGTTGAAACCTGGAATTTTTGAGACGTTTTTGCCATGATTTCGTTGTTTTTCTTTACATCGTACAACGCAAAAATGTCAATGACATGTTGCTGTAGTTTGTAGAATATTAGCACACCGTGACCAGTCTTCTTTTACTGAAATTTTCATAAACATGCGAACTCTCTGTCTGCGAGCTGCGCGCTGAAATTTGGTTTTTCGCTGCCGTCAGTCAAACCTAATCTACAGCAGTACCTTTCATATTTTTGACTGGCAGCAGCAAAAACACAAATTTCAAAGTGCAGCTTGCAAACAGAGTTTGAAAGGGCTATGGTGAAGTTAGTTAGCAAAGCGTTAAGGATAGATAAAGTAGTTTATTAAAATTATTTATATTGCAGCGAGCTGAATTGTGTATTTTAACTACAAGAATATTGATATACAGTTATTTAATAATTAAATGAGTAATATTACAATTTTGAGAAAGTTTTAAGAAATTACTTAGGCCTTATAGAATTTAATTTTTTAAATTAGGTGCTAATAATGGCTTAAATAAAAATGTTCTTAAATCAATCACTGTGTACAGGTTATAAATTAAAATTATATCTGTAAACTTTTCTTGAAGGTAGCTTGCGATGAATCTTATTAGATAGATCAGATAATTTCCTACACAGTTCTTGCGTTCATTGTATTTTATATTAATTTCTTTACTCTTCTTCCATAGAATCCACCTACCATTCTTCCAAAGTCACATGGTACTAGTGAAGTGGCCAGACCACAAGGTCTCTATGGAGTATCAGACAAGATGAAAATGGGGTAGGTTTTATATATGAAAAGTTACAGTTATACTTTGGTTTGTTATAAGGCTTCAAAAAATGAATTTGAAAACTATTGTTTTTGTGGCTCAAAAGTTACACTTTTTCCAAATTGGTCCGAGTTTAGCCATCCCATTATCAAAATGTACAAAATACCAACAGAAAAATAAAGATATTATGTAGAACTTTATCAATACAAACACTTTGCTATTCCTACTTAGAGGCTAACCTTGAGCAATAAAGAATTATGTGTAGTAAACAGAATATTTTGTTGTTGGTGTCTTCACATTATTACTCGGGCTTTCGAAGAAATGCCCGAGGTATAATTTGGACATTGTTAATTTTTTTCTTCAGTCACATATCGCCCTCGAAGCCCTAAGGCGCATGCGTTAAATCAAAGTCTATTCGCATGCGTAGAGTCAGCCATGAGCACATGCTTGAGTAATGGCGGATATGGGGAAGGACTCGTCGCTGTTTCAAGTAATGAATAATATGGAGTTGAACTCCCTCAACATTTTTAGCACGCGTGATTTTGCACAGACTTTGTACCATCTAAAAGGGTGACAATGTTCACGAAGAATTCTTTCGATTTTCTGCTATGAAGCCCGAGTTCATGCAGATATGTGTCTAGTTATACGTGTATTCAAAGACCAAAAACATTCTAAATACAACCAGTAGGTTTGTATGTTCAAACGAATTTGGCAGAGTAGAGAAAACAGACAGACAGAATAAGGACAGTGGGAGCAAAGAGAAGAAGGTTGAGTGGAGTGATTGGAATTGTGCAGAAATGGTGGTGAAAGATAAACTGGAATGGATAAGGAATGTTAAGGCCTGATGATGATGATGATGATATGTGATGATGATACATGATGATACATGATGATGATGATACATGATGATGATACATGATG